CGATAAGAGCTCGGAAATTAAGGTTTATGAAACGTCAGAGTTAAGGATTAATGGCAGTGTATCTCGTGACCCGGATGTAAACCGAAGAGCATGAAGAGATCACTATAGTAAATTGGCGAGTGTCTCAGTAAAGTCACATTATTCTGCAGAGCACCAAATCATCAAATACATTCCGTTGTAAGTTTGCCTCACGCCCAAAGCTATCAAAACGTAAACAGTGTCTGTTGGGAGCATATTACGGAAGCTGAAGTATTGAATGTTTGGAAAGATATGAGCAATGGAAAAGCACAAGGGCACGACCACATCGTAGTTGAGCATATTTGATTTGGAGTCAAACACCAGGTAAAAGCGATAAATCTTTTGTACAATTTTGTTTTTGAAATAGAAGATTATCCACCATGCTTCAAACGCGGAATTGTCATTTCTCTCTTTAAAGGTGGAAAAAAGATTAATTGGATAGTAGCAAATATCAAGATGTAACCTTGACATCTAAAAGAATTGTGTGAAAAGGTGATGTATAGCAGGATCTCAAACTTGTGCACGAGCATGAACTTTGCACACAGGTTAGAACAAGGTTTTACGACAAATTGCGGAAGTATTTCCGCAGCCTTTACAGTTAATGAAGTCATGTGTCATCATCTTGAGCGAAATTCCAGAGTCTATGCTGCATTTCTAGACAACGAAAAGGCTTTTAATAGTATTTGGATCAATGGACTTCTATTTGTAAGCTCTACAACATCGGCATTAATGGCAAAATCTGGCATATACTTTCTAATTCGTTCAAAGGAGTGGCGTTATGTGTTCTGTACGAGGGCAAAACCGGAAATCCATACAAGGTCGGACAGGGCGTCGGTCAAGGTCGTGATCGCTCCGCATGATCTTTTCGTCTACGATCTACATATATCAGCGATATTCTTATCGGACGACACTCTACTGGTGGATTGTTCTGTTGGTAACATACAGCACCTTTTAGACATTGTTTTTGCTTTCTTGTGATAGTGACGCTTGACTTATAATGTAGCAAAGAGCACACTGGTAATGTTACACAACGGTAACACAAAGCGCATTCCGCTGGTCGAATATTATTTGGGACAGTGACCGAAGCATGAAAACGTCATGTGCTTTCGTACAATCACGTATTCTCTGTAGAGCGGAACCGACTCAACACCCTCGTAAAGAACTTGATATTGCACAGAGATATGCCCCAAGGAGGTGTTCAGGATTTGAAAAGACAGCACCAACACCCATAACAACACAAGTCATCGGACGGTGATGTCGAAAATTCACGTTCTGCAACAAACTGTGTTTGGCGAGTAATAAGCATGTATGGAAAATTCTCTTTCCGATTCGGTTGAGCGTTTTTGTCTCCGGAGACATACCTGTCAAAGTCGAAAGCTTAATTGACGATATCTTTACGACTTAAGTTCAACTCGAGATTTCATCTATATTGTTGGACTACGTGTTTGAAGGATTCTGCCTCCACGTCATAGCGGAACTTTGATAGAAGGATTGTCGAAGACTTTTATTTCAAAATGTCACAAGATGCGTTTTTAGTTCAGATTCACTATAAACATATCACTCTATTCAAAGTGAACAAGGTCTCAATCCATTGCGGTTGTTCGGTTTTGATTTCCAACAGTATACATGGAAAATGATCTTATTGGTCCGAGAGAGAGACTGTGGTATCTAGGCTATGTCAGAAACAGTCTGGTGATAATGCTCTGCATTTTCTTGTTCAGTGTCCAGCGCTGTTCAATAGTCGTGACAAGCTGTTCGATTTTTAGTTAATTTCTTAGACGTGTAAGACTATGTTAAGTTTCATAACTTGCCAGAAGGAAGACAGTGCCAATTAATACACGGGAACACGAGCAGTGGGCTGAATTTATGACAAATATCTCTCATCTGGTTTATGATTAAGACTCAGCTAGAATACCCGAGATTAAAATCGCAAAACAAAAACCTATCAAACATGCCAAAGCCAGAGCAAACTTCGCAAAATCCTTTTATAAAATTTGGTATTGACCCAGTCTTGACCTCATGGCAAAACAAGAACCCCTAAACGCCACTGACTGCTTCTCTGAAATTACTGTGATGCAAGCTAGTCTGATGTGCTCGATTTATCCATGTTTAGATATCAGGTTTTGTTCGGTTGACAATATGGAATGAGCACGAAATAGTTTTCTTCGATGGACCGCACAATAACTTCCACATCGGTTTTGGTAATAGGTGCACGTGCAGCTGGTGAACTGGCAACCCGGTTAAGGGCAACATACTGGCAAGTTAGGCGATTATCTTTTTGGCAATGCAAGATTAGTATTGTCACAAAGTTACACTTGAATTGTAATTGTTTTTGCATTATTTCTTTCAGCTTTGATGTTTACTTGTATGAAGGTACACATACGTTTGTCCAGGGGAGCGATCTTTATCTAACCACCTTACCTGTGGAGCCAGATCGGGCACCTGGTCTATTCATAGCGTGCGCTGTTCGAGAGGTTTTGCATAATGTTAGCGACGTGTCTACGTTTGCGTGATGCAATGCAGTGCGAGTCAGGTGGTCACGGATATGAAAATTTTCCTCTTGAGGTAGTGTTCCTTTGTTTGATCAGACCTAGCCTGACTATTCGATCGTGCAGACGTTTTTGACACTCTACACTTATATATTGTATTGCTGCATTGTAGAGCTTGTCTTATAATTGTGCACTTGTAAATCCCTATTGCAGCTTTCAAAGTACACATTGGTCTCGTCCTTTTCCGCCCAATTTATTTTCAATTTATTTATGAAATAGCACGAGCTCGTTGCGTTAGCCCCAAACAAATAATTGTTAACAATGCTTTTTGTCACAGTATTGCAATTGTAATTATTATTATTATTACATTCATTATGGCCCGTCAACACATAATTAGGAATTGTTTTTGATTTAAGTCATGTCATGCCATATTATGTCAGCCTTATATATATAAGATATATTTTGATTATCATATAGCGCGTTTTTATGCCGGTGCGTTTACTCTTTTGATCGTTTTCACCTGAGGGTGGGATACTGGAGAAAGCTACTTCAGACAAATGACCAGTGTGGATGGTACTAGCTCTGTACTAGATGGTAAGGAATCGACCAACTTTTTCAGCTGTACTACATAATCCGATGTACACTAAGGTTTGAAAATAGTGTGACGAGATAGTTTAATAGATTATAGACCAAACCAGCCAAATGATAACACAATAAAATAGACAATTCGTCTGCGCTTTGTTTAACGCTCGGTGGAAAATATGCGAGAGTTTGTGGCCCCAATCGTCCCTGTTTAGTGCTGGCACACTGCGGCGTATACAAATGCATTTTTGTCGCGTTTGGGAAAGTGCAGTTGTTATCATTGGGGCACGTTTTTGGTATTTTTTTCTATCATACATTGTCTAACATAAACCTAAACTCAAGTAACACGCGTCTTTGGATAAATGAACAGAGGATTTTACCTTTGGATGAAAGACATCGCCGCTCATTTGAAAAAAAATAGCCTTTATTAAATTAGCCATATCGAAATTGGATATTGCAAATGCTTTAGGATCTGCTTTTTCCAAACATTCGTCTGCAAATAATAATTCCAAGAACGTTCAAAAGTTTAAGACCACTCGAGAAAAAACTTGATTGAAATTCTATCCCGTAAACAATGAAATTTACAACCTACCATTCACAATGTTAGAATTTCGAGAATCCCTGAAAAAAGCAACAGGACCTGATGATTATTACAAAATCTTCTTGATATTTTTAATTATATTTTTAGATCGGGTGATGTCACAAAGTCATGGGAAAAGGCAACTGCGATTCCTATCCTCAAACAGGATAAAGACAGATCCCTCCAGTTACGCCCAATATCACTCACGTTTGTATAATTCTAGAGCGAATGATAAATTCAAGATTAATTTGGTATCTGGAATGCAATTGCATAATATTACCCACCCATACAAAGTGGATTTAGATCTAAGCGAGGTACCAATGATAATTTAGTTAGACTTGAAGCCTTTGTACGTGAGACCTTTCTAGAGGAGCACTTGGTTATTGTTTTCTTCGATTTGGAAAATGCTTTAGACACAACTTTGAAATATGACATAATGAAGGATCTGCACGATAGGTATTACAGGTAATATATCAAATTTTATTTCATTTTCTATCAGATAGAATATTTCAAGTCCGGAATGGAACGACCCTTTCCGATATTCATTAGCAGGAAATTGGTGTACATCAAGGCAGCATTCTCTTGGTTACACTTTTTGGACTTAAAATTAACAGTATTGTGAAAACATTATCCCCTCCCAGGGCTCTTTATGTCTATGACTTCATTATATGCTAACGATCTAAGCATATGAATGCCATTGAAATACCACTACAACAATATTTGAATCGACTCCAAATTTATACAGATGAAAATGGATTTAAATTTTCCCAATCAAAATTAGTTTGTATGCATTTTTGTCAAATGTGGAGACGATCCAAATTTCTCTCGTTGGGGTGTACCTGTCTCAGTTGTTGAGCAACCAAATTCCTAGGTGTAATATTTAACATGAAATTGTCGCTCATTCTAAAGTTAGTGTCCCACACTGGTTGGGGAGATGATAGAAAAGTTTTGCTATGAACTCTTTATGAGACCAAACGTAGACTACGGTTCCATTGTGTATGCATCTGGTAGACATCGATATCTCAAATTATTAGACACACCACTAGTGATAATGATAATTAACAATAAATATCATAACTATAAACAGGGGCCTTGGTACTATTATTGTGTTTATTTTGAAGTGTTACACACTGCCTTTAACTTTGTACAAACAGTATATATCAGGATTTTTAAACCATGAATTGTTATATTTGTATATCATTTACACAATCCCAATACTAGGTACTTTAACAGGGAGGAAAATATACTTAATCAATGCTTGTCTGATTCGGTAACTTCTCGTTAGACACGTATCTTACTGCTTCGTGCTTCTGTCATTCACATTATCTCCATCATAAGCCCACCTCTTCCTCCTGTTTACTACAACACCAGCCCATCCCTTCCTTCACTTTACTTGTGTTTACTACATCATCAGCCCACCTCTTCCTACTGTTAACTATATCATCAGCCCACACCTTCCTACTGTTAACTACATCATCAGCCCACCTCTTCCTACTGTTTACTAAATCATCAGACCACCTCTTCCTCCTGTTTACTAAATCATCAGCCCACCTCTTCCTACTGTTTATTTCATCATCAGCCCACCTCTTCCTTCTGTTAACTATATCATCAGCCCACACCTTCCTACTGTTAACTACATCATCAGCCCACCTCTTCCTACTGTTTACTTCATCATCAGCCCACCTCTTCCTCCTGTTTACTACATCATCAGCCCACCTCTTCCTACTGTTTACTTCATCATCAGCCCACACCTTCCTCATGTTTACTACATCATCATTCCACACCTTCCTTCTGTTTACTACATCATCATTCCACACCTTCCTTCTGTTAACAACATCATCAGCCCACACCTTCCTTCTGTTTACTACATCATCAGCCCACCTCTTCCTCCTGTTTACTACATCATCAGCCCACCTCTTCCTTCTGTTAACTATATCATCAGCCCACACCTTCCTACTGTTAACTACATCAACAGCCCACACCTTCCTCCTATTTACTACATCAACACCCCACACCTTCCTCCTGTTTACTACATCATCAGCCCACACCTTCCTTCTGTTAACTACATCATCAGCCCACCTCTTCCTCCTGTTAACTACATCATCAGCCCACCTCTTCCTCCTGTTTACTACATCATCAGCCCACCTCTTCCTTCTGTTAACTACATCATCATCCCACACCTTCCTCCTGTTTACTACATCATCAGCCTATACCTTCCTTCTGTTAACAACATCATCAGCCCACACATTTCTTCTGTTAACTACATCATTAGCCCACACCTTCCTCCTGTTTACTACATCATCAGCCCACACCTTTCTTCTGTTAACTACATCATCAGCCCACACCTTCCTCCTGTTAACTACATCATCAGCCCACACCTTCCTCCTGTTTACTACATCATCAGCCCACACCTTCCTCCTGTTACTACATCATCATCCCCTCCCTTCCTTCTGTTAACTACATCATCAGCCCACACCTTCCTCCTGTTCACTTCCTCATCATCCCACACCTTCCTCCTTTAACACACCATCAAATGCATTTCCTTCTGCCTCCTCTCTGCATTGCTGTCTCAACACCCATGAGTTGAGGCATTCGTCCGCCGTGGTTCCCATTCCGGCCACGGTCAGTTGAGGGTAAGAAAGTTTTGGACAGCTGACTAGACTTGATGGGTTAAACAGGTCTTCGCATTGGCTCTGTGCGTCTGTGTCACAACATTCACGAACTCCCTTGGCCGCTTTCGGACGGACATTTGCGTCCGATGTAGAACACCCAGGGATAGACTGTGCCACCATAAGACTGCTGACGTCCTTGTCAAACGCACGTACTTTCCTGATCATTTCTGGTGTCCGATCTCCTCTGGCCAGCATCGGGTCAGAATCCGATCCACTACAGCTCATGTTTGGGACCTCGTCGTCATCGTCGCTGTCGTCGGAATATTTGTAGATCTCCACGACATCTGAAATATGATCACTGTTGATGTAGTTGAACCGTTTGTAGTCCTCTACTTGTCGGATGATTGTCCTGGTCAGACGGCCGTCCAACACGGGAGATGGTTTCCCGGCCTCTCCACTTCCGTCACACTGAATGTTAACTTTGTCTCTTCCGTCAACGGAGAAGCCTTCACTGTCTGAGATTGATGTGCATGTCTGATCAGAATGACTTCTGGTGTTGACGATGAATGTTGTGTTGCTGACTGACCTCGCGAGACGAGGTGGGACCGGGCTGCTTGGTCGTATATAAGGATGTACTTCTATCATCCGAATGGATGAACAGAGACTGGTCTGCCCGATAGATTCCTCTGATTTTACTGACCTTGGAGACTCTGACGAACTGCGAGATCTTCTTCTGCAGGTATTCACTACTTTGCTGTTTTTACATCCCATCATCAGGCTTCGTATCACGTGAAAAAAGTGAAATTTGAGAGAAAAGAGGACGCAGGCTTTATCATTGCTAACGTGTATAAAGATATGAGCTATCCCGAAATGTGTGTAAAGGGTATTATGACGTCATTGTAATTATCACGTCACGGCGGACATAGAACAATCAGAATATACATAAAATGTATACTTCTTACGATCTAACACAATTTTATGAACGTTTTGCATCTATTTCCTTATGTATTTATTTCCTTATCCGAACATCCGGATCTGTCCTGGGGTCGGTTAGTGATGTCATGTGATTATGGGAGCAAATATTTATACATTCTCGAAGTTAGATCTGTTCATATCTTGTGGAATGATAATTTAGACGAAATCTCTTAACCAACTTTCTGCAAATTGTCATACTATATTCAACTAATAACGTTCGATCATGATCTATCATTATCTATTAAAATGTATATACTTCCACAATAAGCGAACAATTTACGACTGTCGTACCATTTGCCTTAGATGTGTCTGCAATTTGTTATGTCCTTATTTAATTTGCAGTGGATTTTTTTCCGAACATTTGAAACAATATGCAGCAAACACTTCGTTTGTTTAGACAACTGATTGGCTAGGAACAAATCGAGTTACTGCATCTAGTTTAACGATTGACGCCTCAAGTGTTATTGTATCGTTATTCAACTTTAGGGCTTTTTGTACTACATATCTCACATCTTTACCACCGTACACTCCACTAACATGTAAATTTCAAAGCGATCACATGATCAGTTTAAAATAACACGGTAGATAACGTTATACAATTGTAATAAGCAATCATCTCGATCATAAAGAAAATGTTCTGAAAATGAGAGAAGAAAATCAAGATTTTGGTTTACAAATTATAGTTCCTCTTGATAAAAGGCTGGTTACACTATTAATGAGGCGATAATCCTGTATTCTTTATATTTCTGTGATACTCACTATTCTAACATGTGTAATGTGTACAAAATGTGATGAAAATAGCACACAAAAGAAAAAGATAGGAAAGAAAATTATTAGAAAATTTCGTGTGTAATCAACCTCACACCTTACCAAGGCAACATAGGTTTAAAGTGCCTCCAGCTCCATATACAAGATAAAACAAAGGGCAATAACTCTGGGAGTAAGAGGAGGAATATGTACAATGTACACTGACTCAATGTCAAGTAGTGATGAAAGAGTTGGCGTGGCCGGGACAGAAAAAGGCAATAACTCTGGGAGTAAGAGGTGAAATATATGTACAATGTACAGTGATTCAATGTCAAATAGTGATGAAAGAGATGGCCTGGGCGGGACAGAAAAGGGCAATAACTCTGGTAGTTAGTGATGTTTGTACATAAAACAATTACTTTATGATGTTATTAGTGTAAATACGCTCAGGATGCACAGTGATAAACAATAAGATACAGTGTCTGTCAATTATCCATCAGTGAAATCATCCGCGCCCACGACAGTGTAAAAGATTTTGTTCGCTCAGTAAATATAGAGAGAGATTACGTCAGCTACAAGTATAGAAAGGGACAGAGAAATCCCGGTGTCATATGTATTGGTACATTGTATGATAGAAATAGAAGGGTTACGGATACTATCAGCCGTCCGGAAAAGGCCATTTACATTATTAAATCACACTTTCCGATGGTTAGATATTAAGATCTATCTATCTTGAACTAAGAGATTACCAATTCGTAAGAATATTCAGTGTACGCATGACACAAGAGTTGTTCCCGTTTCATTCAATTGTAATACAAATATAATTTTCACATCGGCACGGACAATGTCTGTAAACAAGAAAGGAAAACAACATGTACCTGTTACAGTATCATACCAGACACTGTATTCCACAGAGTACCTGTAGCGTTGTCATTTTTGGCTATGACATGCTAAAACTGGCCAAAAGAATCTTTATTATTTTTTCAAATGTGTTATTATTGCAGTCGTGAATTTGCAAATTGCATCTTGATAAGCCAAGTGTAAATCCATTTGAGCTATTGACGAGACATACACGTACATAACATACGTTCCGACAAGTGACGCTCGTCTTTGTAGCTGAGGACACTTCAAGTTTTACCGCCACGTGTTCCAAATCATGTGGAGTTATCCTATCAGTTTTGACACAAGAACTACCAAATGACTCAATTTAACAATACGATACCAGGGAGTATACAAAACTGAACCATAAGGGAAAGAGACGGTATCTTGGATGGATAATCGTTTCCTGTCTAACGCATGGTATCCGTCGCGATTCTACAATCACCGCGAGGTCAACGGTATTTTTCTACAGACATGAAGTGATCCGGAATTACAGCAGAAAACAGTTTGTGTCACAAGTAACAGATATGTACAAGACACATTGAGATGGGTTAGGTATGGTGTTATTAAAGCACATATTTAAATCGAGAAGTAGATCAATTGTTTTAAAATACAAGCTCTATACAGTATAAATACTTTGTACTGGTGCAATCGTATCATTATCAAATGTTTACCGATACGTAAAAAACAATTTGTACAAACACAGGGGCACGATAATTGTGATTGAACGCACATGTAACTGAATGTGGAGACTGTGCATTATCAGAAATTTCTAAGGGTTATATCAAGATGACTTCAAATATTTGTTCCAAATTTTATCATAAATACCACTTCCTAATGATAGTACCAACAGTTATAATGTGAAAAAATCACAGAAAAAAAATGTCCTTGATTCTCATGTCCCTGTGTGCTCCAAGACTCTTCATACAATAACGGTGTAAGGACGTTCTTACCCAGTGATATTTAAATCCATACACTTAATGAAATGCTATCGTTATTGAAACTGATAAAACAAGTGATTTATCATTGGCGCTGCTCGCTATATTTATATTTTCTTTGAGAATCTTTCCGATGCGCAATATCTGCTGTTTCATGTAACAAGCGTTAAAATCATTTATCTGTTTTTTTCTTTAAGATAATAGAAAGGAATCTCCATACCGTTTTCTTTAAACAGTCATGCTATATGGTATAATGTTCAGATAACGTGACACAGCAAAACTTTCACAAAGCCAACCGGATTTCGATTCTTAGACCAAACGCAAAAATCAGAACCCTCGTCCTTTTCCATCTGGATCAAAAAGAGTGAATGATACAGTAAAGTAGATATATTTTGTTTAATACTGTTCATAACATAAAGTTGATATAAAAATGATCTAGCGCTGATATGTCAACGACATAAAACACTGTAGCCCTAAATAACAATAACATACACGGACATATCGATCTAAATCACTTTAATTTGAAGTTTATCTACGATCATTGTCATACAGCCATATTTAACCATATTCACATTCTTTATAACCAAGAAGCGTGTTAAAACAGGCTAC